CACATGGAGAGAAAATATTCTCTCAAGCTTTCACAGAGAGCACATTGCCCAAGCAATGGCCGTGACTCATCCACATGGCTGACACTGACAAAGGTTCTACAATCTGAGCTACAGGATCTCAGGATAAATCCTGAGGGGATTTCACTGACCTTATCAGACCCAAAAGCTACAACTCTTTTTGCATAGGTCCTGCTTTACCTTAGTCTTAACCATCCAGCAGAAAAGTATAAAAATGAAGTATAAGAATTAAAGCCATGCTGTTATGGTGAGCTGTAAGGGACTCAGGTCAAAAATTTCTGACATTGCCAGTGAAGCAGAAGACCCCGTACTATTTTATGGACTACTGGACTCTTGTAGAATATTTTGCAGAGTTAACACACCTATCATATTCAAATAATGGAACTAAACAAAAAAAGGGTATACAGATGAATGTCCATTTTGTATCTGTGTATTCAAAATGGTTAGGATAGATAGATAGTTACATTCTCTTAATGAATAGAGGGATTTGTTCTAATAGTGTTTGTAAATAGGATATCATGTCCGCATCTTGTACAGCAATTAACCACTAGGAAGAATGTATGCAATGTGTTAATTATTGAAACTATCCTGCCAATTTGGTTTGAAACTCTCTCCTTGCTATTTTTTTCTCAATAAAATTATAGAAAAAATGATAAGCCAATATATGTCAGCTACAAACACCCATGTAAATGGTATCAATTCACCAACTTAAAAAAGAAGACTGGCACAGTGGACCAAGAAATAAAATCCAACATCATGTTGCATACAAGAAACACATTTAAATCAAAAGAAAATTCATAGGCTGAAAGTCAGAAGATGGAACATAATGTTCTATGCACCAGGAGCTCAGAAAAAAAGCAGGTGTAGCAATTCTGATTTCTGACAATGTCAAATTCAGACCAAAAATAATCAAACTAGATAAAGAATGTCATTACTTACTTAGGGGAAAAGTAAAAGAGGAAAAGATAGCAATCATAAATATATATGTACCCAATGTAGGAGCACCTAACTATTCCTATATAAGGCAAATTTTAACAGAAATGAAAAATTAATGAATAACACAGTCCTCATGGGGAACCTTAACCCCCTATTGTCTCAAGGAGATAGATCAATATGACAAAAAGTAGCAAAGAGTTAGGAGGGCTAAAGCAAACATCTGAACTAATGAGCTTAGCAGACCTTTACAGAATGTTCCACCCAACATCTAAATGGACATTTTTTTTTCAGCAGCATATGGGACATTCTCTAAAATAGAGCTCTTACTAGTCCATAGAACAAGCTTAAGTAAATGCAAGAGAATTGAAATTATCCGATGCGTATTATCTGACCATGGTCCAATAATGGAAATTAATGACAAAAAGAAGCCACAATACCCCCATAAACACATGGAAATTAATTAAAACCCACTTGAATAACCATTGGGTCTAAGGTAAAATTAAAGAAAAAATTAAACAATATCTGCAATCCAATGAAAATTCAAACCAAATTTACCAGAATTTATGCGATGTAATGAAAACTATTCTCAGAGGGTAATTTATAGCAGTGAACTCACACATTAGGAAAACAGAACAGGAGCAAATAAATACCCTAATACTGCACTTCAGGCTTTTAGAAAAAAAAAAAAAAAAGAGCAAGTGAAGCTCAAAGCCCAGAAAAGGGAGGAAATTATAAAGATCAGAGCAAAAAATAATGCAACTGAGGCACAGAAAGCAATACAAAGAATTAATGAATCAAAGAGTTGGTTCTTTGAAAGATTAAATGAAATTGATAAACCCCTAATAAACCTCATCAAAAAAAAAAGGACAGCCTTCTACCCCACTTTCCCTGAACACTGTCAGGGAGATTCAGCAGCCCTAACCCCTAACCCTGATCCAAAGCCTTCCCACAAGAGTTTGCTGAGTCCTGCTGCCCCTGCCTGCCCTGAAGACTGCCCAAGAGACCTGGTAGGATACCCCTTAACCTCCATCCTTCCTGCTGGAGTTGCTAATACTGGCCACCATTCCTCACCCTGAAGACTGTCAAGGAGACTCAGTAGTCATAGCCCTGCCCTCAGCCTTCCCTCTGGAATTTATGGAGGTGGATTCTGTTCCTTGTACTGAAAACTACCAGGGAGTCCTGACTTGCACAGCAACCTGCAGGAGCCTTATGAAGCACTACCCTGTGCTAACCCAGCATCAAGAGAGTCTTGCACATCTTTGGCCTATACACATCATCATCAGATCTTTCTTGAACTGTGGCTTGACCGCCTCTCCTTATGAGGTAAAAACCACACAGCAGGAGCTCTGGTGAGCCTCCTCTTCCCTCCCACACTTTGGAGTGCCACCCACCTACCATCACTGCAAAAAATGACAAAAAGAAGGAATAAAAGACAATCCCAGGCCTCGAGGGCACACAAACCAAGTCCAAGAGACAAGGTCATAGAAGCATATGGAAGTCAGACACTTGAAATATCTGAAAGAATAGCAACTAAAGTAAAGGAATCAACTCCATCAGTCTATGAAGGAAATCAGATCAGAAATAACCTCTCAGGTAAAAAAGGAAATGACAATAATCATGAAAGAACTGAGCACTTTACTGGCAAGTGTAAGAGCCTGAGTTCAATCCCTGGTTCTGCAAAAAAAAAAAAAAAAAAGACACAGAATTGCTTGATATATCTAAAGAAGACACAGATAGAAAAATAGAAGGGAGTAGGGAAATGATGGAAACACAGGAAAGAACCAGAATACATGAAACAGATTCAAACTGATATTCAATATGTTAAGAATTCAATAGAGGGGCTGGGGAGATAGCTCAGTAGAATAAATGCTTGCCTGGCAAGTGCTAGGGCCTAATTTCAATCCTTGGTTCTGCAAAAAAAAAAAAAAAAAAGAAGAAGAAAGAAAGAAAGAAAGAAAGAAAGAAAGAAAGAAAGAAAGAAAGAAAGAAAGAGAAAAGAAAAAAAATTCAACCGAAAGCTGCCAAAACTGTTTGAATGAAACAGAAGACAGAATTTCAGACCTTGAAGATAGCATTGCAGCAAAAGAAATATTTCAGTACAACAACTGCAAGATGATGCAAAGAAAAAATAATATAAGACTGATAGGTATAAATAAAAGATCTGGAGATAATATACAAGACATAGAAAGAATGTTCACAGAAGTAGTAGCAGAATATTTCCCAAGAATGGAGAAAAAAATCTGATACACAGTAACTGAAGCATATAGAACTCCAGTTAGTCACATTCAAAATAAATCAAGATCCCAGAAATTGAATAAAAGAACATAATATTAAAAACTGTTATAGAAAAGAAACAGATCACCTATAATGGAAAAATCCATCAGAATTATGACAGATTTCTCAACACAGAACATCAAATCAAGAAGGGCTTGGAGTGAGATATTTGAAGTCCTGAAAGAAAAGAATTTTCAACCTGGATTGATGTATTCTGCAAAACTACCCATCAAATTTAATGGAGAGATTAGATACTTTCATGACCCAGAACACCTAAAGAAACATGACAACCAAACCAACCATACAGAGTACTGACAGACATTTTAGAGAGTGACAATGGCAACCACAATTTCAACAACAGCGGAAGAAAATAACCAAGTACAGCAATCAATTAAACAATGGGGAGAAGTAGGGATCCCACAGAAGGAAAACAATATGACAAAAATAAGCCAATATATATCAGTTATCAATATAAATGTAAATGGTCTCAATTCACCCATCAAAAGAAGTAGACTGGGTGGCCCTGCCTGCCCAACCAGCTGCACACACTCTCCATCAGTAGATCCATTAGGAGGCAGCAGTGGAGGTCACTGCTGGGAGGTGATCCAGGGCAGCATGGCAGCCTCCTTGTGGTTCCAGGGAACTGCCTCCAGCCTCTGCTACTGGAGTGACCAGCCAGTAGCTGCCAACTTAGCAGCAGGTAGTGTCTTTCCCAGCAGATGTATCTGAAAGGCTGAAAGAATTATTACAACGCTGCCCACCAGTATCAATGCAGTAGAAGCTTACTCTGGAACAAATGGAATTCTAAAAAAAGTGAAGAAAGGCTCATTATTAATAGATTTCAGTACCATTGATCTTGCAGTTTTGAAAGAACTGACCAAAGAAGTTACAAAAATGGGAGTAGTTTTCTTGGATGCCCCTGTCTCTGGTGGTGTAGGAGCTGCTCAATCTGGGAACCTTACATTTGTGCTAGGAGGAGTCAAAGCTGAATTTGCTGCTGCCAAAGAGTTGCTGAGGTGTACGGGCTCTAACATAGTATATTGTGGAGCTGTTGGGACTGGGCAGGCTGCTAAGATCTGCAACAACATGTTGTTAGCTATTAGTATGATTGGAACTGCTGAAGCTATGAATCTTGGAATCAGGTTAGGGCTTGACTCAAAACTAATGGCTAGCATCCTAAATATGAGTTCAGGATATGTTGGGCAAGTCACATTTATAATCCTGTACCAGGGGTGATGGATGGTGTGCCCTCAGCTAATAACTATCAGGGTGGATTTGGAACAACACTCATAGCAAAGGACCTGGGATTGGCACAGGACTCTGTCACCAGCATGAAGAGCCCAATCCTTCTGGGCAGTCTGGCCCATCAGATCTTCAGGGTGACGTGTGCAAAGGGCTACTCTAAGAAAGACTTCTCAGCTGTGTTCCAGTTTCTGTGAGAGGAGAACTTCTGAGTGTGCCCAAGGCACAACACTGTTGGAACAAACTCTCCCCTGGAGCTTCCTTCTAGCCGACTTCACAAGTAAATCGGTTTAATCAAGGTCATCTCTCTGCATTTGATTGTCTGTGTTACAGTAATCCCTAGGATTTCCCACCCATTTTTAACTGTTTATTCTTTTTTGTCTGTTAGGCACACATCTGAAAAAAAATTTTTTTCTGCAGGTCATTGAGGGGTTTTGCTAACTAAACTGACCTTTTTAAAAAGTGTGATCCCTGAGAATCTTCAAATAAATTATTCCATACTTCAATCAGGATGTTATTCATTCCACTTCACAAATAAAACCAAATATTTTGTTAACAAGATGAAATCCATCCTAAAGGAAAGAAGCCAGTGAAAGGAGAATTCAAGAAAAGAAGTCTAATGAATTATTACCTATAACCCTTGGGGTGCTTTAATCAAATGGTGGTATTCTTGCATTTCTGAGGTTACTGGCTTATTTTTCAGGAAATTGATAAAGTAAGAGAACTTGTTCCTGCATGGTTTATAATTTGGAGTCTGTTACACTACCTTAATGAATCCCTCTTGTTATAATTTCCAGTACTCAAAAAAGTGTTTCTATATTTTTTGCCTCCTTGTACATTCTCACTACATATTTTTTTACTTCAAAAGAATGACATTAGAAGACTGTTCCAGATCCAATGGTGATATTTGCTTTAGATAATTATAACTTTATTCTAAGTATAAACACATTATTTTGAATTAAAAGAAATTTTTATGCTAATAATTTTTTTAAAAAAAAAAGTAGACTGGCAGAGTGGATCAAGAAACAAAATCCTGCATATGAAAAACACACTTAACTCAAAAAAAATTTAATAGACTGAATGTCAAAGGAAGGAAAACAATACTCCATATGACAGGAACACTGAAAAATGCAGGGATAGCTATTCTAGTTTCTGACAATGTCAACTTCAAACCAAATGTGATTAAAAGGTCAGTACATATTTGTTAGTAGAAAACTGCAAGAGGAAGTGATAACAATTATAAATACATATGCACCCAATGTAGGAGAACCCAACTATCTAAGACAAAATTGAACAAACATCAAAAATCTAATGAGCAATACCATAATTGCATTGGGGGACTCTAACATCCCATTGACACAAAGAGATAGATCAAAACCATGCAAAAAATTAATGAAGAAATAATAGAACTAAACTGAAGAAATGGACTTAGTAGACCTTTATAGACTGTTCCACCCAATAGCATCAGAATGCACATTTTTCTCAGCTGCACAAGGGATGTTCTGCAAAATAGATCATGTGCTAGTACATAGAACATGCTTAAGTAGATGCAAAGGAATTGAAATTATCTCATGAATATTATCTGAACATAGTGCAATGAAACTGGAAAATATTGACGAAAGAAACAGCAATTGTAATATAACAGAACAGTACGTATTTCTATACAGTTAGAGAAAAAAGAAAAGTAATAATAAAAATAAGGCACCAATTATGAACAGATAATAGTTATATAATAAAACAGTTTCTCTAGTTTGTAATTTACTACAGTTTGGGGACATCAAAATAGATGATAGCAAGGAAATGAAATTTCATTATAGATTAGCTCATTCATAAATTTCAGGTAATGAATGATGACTAAAAAGCCATAGGAAGGAAACATACTATCTACCTTCCTTCAGAATTGGTTGGCAGGCTTGCTCTTACTGTATCTTTATATGTTTCTTTAGCTTTTGTCGCTAAAATACCTCTCCAGGAAGCCTATCCAGTATCTACCAAGGCAAGGAACTACAGATAAACTTGATGGAGAAGATGGGATTGATGCAGACATATGGATCGATTTACACTATACAGAATGCTTTCTTTGATAAGCTTTTATTGGTATAAATGTATTAAAATATGAAAAAGGAAGATTAGCCTGATGTCTTTATCAGGAAAACTACTTTTTTATGTATTTAGTGCAGGGTCAATAGGGTCTCCCTATGCAGTTTGGACTCGTGGTGATTTTCCTGTTTTCAGCCTCCCAACTGCTAGGATTACAGGCATGCGCCACCGCTCCCATTCTCAATTGGTGTCTCAGCATGTGCCCAGGGGTGGACCGGCACAGCACACTGGGGATCAAACCAGGTGCTTTAGTCCTCTGAGCTATCTGGCCAGCCATCAAAAGACACATTTAAATCCAACTGACAAATTTGGAGTGTTTTGTTCAATTTGTGTCATATACATAATGACATACAGAGACATATAAAGTGATATATAAAGATCCTGAATAGAAGATTTATTTTCTTTCCTTTGACCACAAAAGCAAAAGCAGTAATTTTGGACAATGTCACACATAGATTAAAGGGAATCATAATAACAGTAAAGATTATTCATATAAACCCAATAAAACTATGTACTTGCTGCAAAACACAAATGTGAACCTCTTCCAAGAGTGGGATATCATTAAAGGCAATAGTTTTCTTTTTTGTTTTTTTTTGTTTGTTTGTTTGTTTTAACAAAATTCACATTTTATTTAGATTGAAATAAACTATACAAAATTTTCTTCACCAAAAATAACAGCAATATTTTCTGTATTATTTCTAGATAAACCACAAAACTTTCATTTTGTAGGTTTTCCAGATTTTGTTTATAAATCAAGATGAGGCAGTAGATAGAGTCGTGGAAAAAGACGGAAGAAAACAGACAATTCAGTTGCCTGTATGATGGCCTCTGATTCCATATGGACCATGAAGCAGAAGTGTTTGACATTTACCTGCTAAGAAGCTTAAGAAGATGTAGGCTCCACAAAGGAATGTAAACAGCAACAACCAGATGTGGAGTACAGTGGCAAGCTTTTCCATTCAAACTGTAACCTCTTCTTTTAGGTTCATTTCATAAAAACAAAATCTACACTGAAATCTGGTGAGGTCACAAACTTTTCTCTAGTAATTCCCTTAGCTGTCCATTACAGATTTTTAATAACACACTTATAACTACTAATCACAGGTCAGTGATGGGGTTCACCATAACATTTTATAAAATGCACTTCTCCCACACCACCTCAAAATTCATTTTTTCAAAAACTGACAATTCAATATCTGACAAGGGATCCACAGTGACAGTTAAGTGTGCTGTCTAAAATAACTTAAAACAATTTCAGAGTGCCACCAGCAGAGGTCATGCCAAGTGAAGCATGGCACTCCCAATGCTGTCTTCTGGAAAACAGATCTCAGAAGCATGAGAGCAGCCACTTAAATATGGATTATCAAATGGCTAATATATTAAATGACAGGCATAATGTCTACCATGTTTAGTGATTAGGCAGCCTACACACTCCTTACGGCTTTTCTTACAAATAGCAAATACATGAGAAAGTCTATTTTAAAAGTCTCTTAGGTGTTTTCAACAGTTTCTGAATTAACTGTAGGAAGCTCTGATTTAGTTGTATATAGTTTGATATATGTATCCACCATTAAATCCAGATCATGTTTTATATCAAAATTTATGTTAAGCAAAGCCAAGTTACTGGACCTTTGGTCTGTCAGAGTATTTCTCAAATATGCTTTGAGACGCTTTCGTCCATTTTCATAGCGTTCATTCTCAACTTTCATCACAGGAAGAATACACAGGACTTTCAGCAAGGCATACACATTAGGAAAAAACTTGATGTCAGGCAAGTGGAGGGCTTCATAAATAGTAGATGGAAGCTCTATGTCTTTCCCTCTGTGTTTCCATTTGATTCTCCAGCAATGAAGCTCAGCTGAGAGCGTGTCAGGATTGGGTAAGTCACTTCTGTACATGTCAGCAT